TCTATCATATATTGTTCTTTTTGTTTTTTTTAAACAAAACAAAAATTTAAAAAATGGATCTAAAGGTATAATACCAGTAAGTGGACAGAGAAGTGCAAAAGTTATACAATTAGTGTTCAGTATATTACCAATGAAGAATTGATAATAAAGAATAAAATACATCATTTTTAATGAAAAAGAAAGGCATTTTAAATCTCGCAGCCAAATGTTATTATCTAAAGATAAATCATTTACCAAAGAAAAAAGAAAGAAAAAGACTAAGAACATTGTGCCTGACTATTTTCTTTCTGACTTTCTCCTTGTTGTACCCTTGTTGATTGATATATAATATTCATAAACAATTTCATATACTTTTATTATAAATATGCCACAATTTTTACCGTTTATCATTCTTATCACATTCAGCAACTGATCCTTGCAAAATATTTTATAATTCCATAATCCATACCATTATGTTGAGTTTGTGTTGTCCCTCTCTCTATTTTCATTTCAGAGGAATTAAACAGTGATCTTTCACAGAGCCTGACTGAAATCAACTGCTGAAAAGGCAATTAGGTCTTTGAGCTGAGAGGGTGTTAGGCTACTATGAGTGTTTTTAATGTATGTAAAATGTGTTTTGTGACATCACAATCCAAGCCCAGTGCCGCCCCCCCCATATACTTACATGTTATATTGTGATGAGCCTGAAAAGATGAGGGCTGTATCCTAATAATATGATACAGATTCTGTGATTTTTAGAGTCATTGTAGTTTGGCATAATTGCCACATTCAAAACGTCTTTCTATTTCGCATCCTTCAAAATTCTCTCAGTCTTTCATCTTAAATAATCACATCAATTGTGGTTTTCAAATGTACATTCATTGTTTGCCAGATGTACTTATAAGTAGATTTATGCTTGAAGTATTTACCTGAAACCAGTTTTTCACCAAATGGTTCACAATTCTCATTAATTTTTGAGTCCTTGAATGGCTCAACTACAACTACAACTTTTTGATAATTATTTCATTCCCATCTGTCCGTCCATCCATCTCACCTAAACAATATTCCCCCCCCCCATCATATTCAACAAGCTGTGGTTCTTCCATCACCATTTCCTGGAGTATAATATTCAATTGTCACCAAGCAATTGATTCCTACTCTTACAAATACATTACCTACAAGAGTTTAGTTGACACCAATATATACTTTTCATCAACTCCATATTGCAAGGTCAGGATCTTCATTCACATCTTCATTTGCTTCTACTACATACTTCATCTTTCTTTTTCTTTCATTGAGACTCCTTTCCTTTCTTCCTCTCCCCCTTAGAACTTAAACATTGTATTTGGACTGCTTATTGGAGTTTAAACATTAGGACTGGATACTGTTATGCCTGCCCCTTGCTACCCAGACTAAAGGTTAAGCCTAGTTTATGACTTTACAGTTATAACCCATAAGTAGATTTCCTAATTTATAACTTTCCTGTTTAATTTTCTCTTGAAATCTATTTAGGTTGTGAAAATTAGTGGATGAATATGCCCACAAAACAAACAAGATGACTACAATGCTGATTCTAGTAGTATCATTATATATTGGATATCCTTAAAAGTTGTTTGATTGGTTTAGGCGGGCATGGAGGATTTCAGAAGGTGATGTTGCTAGAGGATTCTTGTTCACTGTTGTTATTCTGTAGGCCACAGGTGTCAAACTCGATTGCATCACGTGATGTCACATGATGTATTGTGGCTTTTTTTGCCTTTGCAAGGCCGGGGTGGACATCGCATGAGTGTGATACATCCCCCCCCCCCCCCCGGCTTGCCAATTTGACATCCCTGCTGTAGGCCATAAAAGGATCTCTCATTTTTTGAAATCCAGGTCACATTTCAACTGTTGAATCTTGTCCTGACTGCCACAGCAAATGGCCTGGGTATTATAGCCATTTACAAAATATTGTGAACCCCCTCCCCCTTTTTTTGTGTAAAGATACTTACATAGAAAAGGTGTGTTTGTTGATGTGCCTTCCTAGCTCCTTTGCTCTGTCCCTAGTTTTCCTCCCCCTTTTTTTCTTTCCTTATTTACCTAGTGTCATCCAACCGAGATCTTTTTCAGATCTTTCATTTTCGTTTCTCATTTTCAGTATTCCTTACCTTCTAATTTTTTGATTTCTGTTTTTTCTCCTTTCATTCCTTTATCTTTCCTATCATCTCATGATCTTCCCCATCTTTCTACAGCACCCTCCTCTGGGTTTCTTTAATTTATCATTTCTGTACCCTTTCTTTTCATAGGTATTGAAACATTTCCACTGGAAAGACCCTGCTTGGATCACCTTTTAAGCCTGGTGCTTTAGCAGGGCCTGAGGAAAATTTGTGGCTTCTGCCATTGAGCACCATGTTGAGCAATTATATGAAAATGCTAGAATGTTGTCAGTTTTGGAGTTGAGGCCTATCAGCGTGGTCATTATATCTCTGAAATCCATACATTCTGTACCACTAATGGGTTAGGTGAGGGAATCTAAATAATGTTTATTGTAGGCAAAAACTAGGTTTCTTGTCAACTAAAAATCATGTTGGGGACTGTATATATATAACTCCAAAGCGTACATTGGATCATAATGTTATAATAGTTGTTACTATGGCTCTGTTTGGTAAAACAAAACAAGAGGAAACATGTCAATGATCAGAGCATTAGAAAATAGGTTGTTGATCTACAGTCCACGGACTGCCGGTAGCCTCAACCACAAAGGGAATGAGAAGTTTTTGGAAGTTTTGCCCATTTTTTCTATCAACCAGTTTGTTTTCCAGGATATTTTTACCATCCAGTTGACTGCAGGTACTAGATTGCTTGTTCCTGCTGCCATTACAAATCAGCAATCTGCAAGGGACTGCTATATGAGAAGAAAGAAGTAATCTTGATTAGAATCACTAGAACACAGATTCATTTCCCACACTGGGAATCCAGCAATCAATAAACAGATGACTGAGGGGGAAGTTTGTTTGGAATGATGCGAGGTTGTCCAAGTGTGTGCATATGCATGTGTGAGTGGGTTAGATTGCATGCAATCTGCATGTGGACCTGCACATTGTATTGATTAAAACAAGTTCTTTATGCAGCAGATATCAAGGGAGATCTGAGCACTGTAGTTGGCAATTTTATTCCCAGGTTGAATTGGTCCATGACGTATTTTTGAACTCCAGTAACCAGACTGATATGTAGTATTTTTAAAAAATACATTAGAAATAAGTTAATGTCTGCAATACATGTCCAAAAACTGCAAGTATTTAAAAATCTAAATAATTTTGGGAAGAAACAGAAAAAAACCTGTTCTTTAAAAGACAGGAATAAAGGAATTACAAAAAATGACTGTTTTTGTTAATAAGAAGACATTGATAGAAAAATTAAGCTCTTGTAAATTTATTTCATATGATAAGCCATAGACTGAGCACAATATTTGGAATTATAGTTTCTATTATTAGTTTAAAATAATTTTATAGGGCATAAGAACAATATTCTTCTATATATGTTTATCTATTTTTTTTTTAAAAACCCATAATTTAAGCCTGTAACATTATTTTAAAGACACTTTACATTGATTTCTGTATTCCTTTAAATTAAACTCTTCTCTGTCCTTAAAGTTTCATCTTAAACTGAAGATTTCAACTCTCTTAACTTTTTTTAAAAAATATACAGTGTAACTTTAAGAGGGAGGATTGCATTCTATTAATTATTTAAAAAGTTCTTGAAAACTTGTCAAGATAATTTTAGATAATTAAAGGATATGTCTGAAGTATGTTTATCTTAGTCATAAAACTATGCATAATATTTTTGCTTTTGTAATCTTAAAATAGGTTATTTTATATTATATAAACAATAAACAATTTCAATTTTGGAACAATGCAGTGATTTTTTTCAAGACCTTTTCCCATGTGGGGCTCCACATTTATTCAGGAAATAACAGGACCACTGTAAAGAATTATTATTGCACTCTTCAGGGGAATATGTATTTTATTCAGCTTCCACTCCTTTAAAAAAAGTGCCTAGGAAGATTTCTCATCATTTAGCACTTTATCTTAAGATTTACCTTAAACACATCTTGAGATAAAGTGCTACTTTAGAGAAGTATTTGTCTACATTTGCAGTGTGCAGTGGTGTATTAACCATTAAACAGACTAAGCACATGCTTAGGGCACCAGGCCCAAAGGAGGCACCACAGAAACTTTTATGTAGCCAAAGCTTGGCTTCGTTTGTATGGTATGTACAAAGGATGCTATTATTTTTGTTAAAATATAATACATAATCTCAGGTATAAACCTACAAGTAAATATGGGAAAGTACTAATCTATGTTATAACCTAAAAACTAAACAAAATGTACTTGGGCTAGGCAATCCAAGAGGGGGAATGGAGAGAGAAAGTCCATAGCCAAGCAGTTCCAATCATAGTGGAAGGTAGAAATGGCTTTTTAAAAAACCTCTGACTAACATTTTAATTTTTCCCTCATTGGAGAGAAAGTAAGCATACCAGTTTATTTCCACCTCTGTTTCATAAGTAGGAAAATAAATGGGGTTTGACTTTGAGGAAGCCAGCTTTCACCTGTTTCCTTTTTGTTGCATTTGATGTTTCTCATTTCTGTTGCATGCCTGATTTTTATGAGTTTTCAATTTATATGGCTTCCCCCAACAAATAACGACATAAACACTTTTTAAAGCAATATTTTGTTACTTTATTTAGATAGGCATCCCATTTACATTTCCATTCTGGTATTTCTGGTACCAACTACCTTTGTTGCATGCTCTGTTTCTGGTATATTTTTTGTATTACTTTAATTAATCATTTTTACTTGCTGGTTTATTATTGTTAGCTTCCATGAACTAGAAAAATAGATTTGAAATAAAATATTTTCCAAACAAAAGTAATTTATAATATTCATGTCTTCAAAGAAACTTCAAATAAGTAGCATTTGTAAATGCAAAGGAACTGCGCTCGCTACACTTTAACCTGCACCTTTTTTATTATTTATTTATAGACTGGCCTTATTGTTGCCTGTTACCAAGGGTATGTGGATATTGTAATAGCCTTAGCACAGTGTCCTCATATTGATGTAAACTGGCAGGACAACGAAGGGAATACAGCTCTAATTACAGCTGCTCAGGCAGGTAAGGATATTTGCTACTCATTTAATTTTTATGTTCAGTAGTGCCCCTTTGTAATTGTGGTCCCTGTGATGAGCCAATGAATATCAGGCTTTTTCCTTTTTAAAGAGAGAGACAATGTAGACCAGGCAGTTATCATCCACTTAGATTGCTCAACATAACAAGTAAAATACATGCTAGACATTAATGCACAAAACAGATGGGTTGCCAGATCCAAAGGAAAGCTCTTAGCTATAGAACAACCCAGCTTTTCAATATTTAATCAAGATACCACTCTGTGACACTCTGCCCAAAAAATAGTGAAGCCTCTCCCCAGAGAGAACTTCTAGGCTGCCTTTATTGATATGATGGCAGTTTTTTTGATTTGGCATCCTCCCTAGCCCCCCAGGAGTGATGGTAAAAACTCGATTGCTGGCTTCTGCAGCTAATTACAGTGTTACCCAAGACACTCTGTGCAGATTAAATGTGAGGTCAATTACATTCAACAGCACCACTCCCCAGGTAATAGTTCCATTGAAGTGTTAAGGGAACCAATCAGTGCCTTTCTAAATTTGGATCTCACCCCACATCCTCAAAAATCAGGGATTAATTTCCATGCTCACTTATATTGATGATATAGATATTGTTTCCCATACCTGCGTTGTAATTTTCGGGCTTTTGCTGACCATTGCCTAATTATAGGATTGAAAATAACCTATGCAAAAATAAAGGTGTTGCTTTTCATGAAGCATATATAGAAAATCAAGGGGGGCAAAGGCTCAGGGATTAAAGTCAGCTCTCGGTTTGAGACCTGAGCGCTGCGGGACAGGATGAGCTCCTGTTACTTGCCCCAGCTCCTGCCCACCTAGCAATTTGAAAGCTTGTGAATGCAAGTAGATAAATAGGTTGCACTTTGGTGGGAAGGTAACAGTGTTCTGTTTGCATTGACGTATAGTCTGGCCACATGACCATGGAAGTATCTTCGGACAACAGTGGTTCCCTCGACCAAGAAACAGAGATGAGCACCACCCCCTAGAGTTGGACCAAACTGGACAGGGAAAACCTTTACCTTTATATGGGAAATTAATAACCATCTCTAGCAAGTTAAGGTATTTAAATACCTAGACTTCAATTTCCAAATATCCACTTAGTGGGTCAGGTCACAGCTCAAACAAAACCAGCTGCAAAGGGGATCATTTGCTCCCAGCAGCATCTATGTTTTCAAAATGAGCTATTGAGTCTATTGTTGTTTGGTGCCAGGTTTTTGCTCATATTCTGGTGATTCCCAGTTTAAACCCCCCAGTGTAAATTCCCCAGAACTTTTATCATGGGTTGCTCACTCCACTTTAAAAGCACTTTTCCAGTTAGACCTTGAATGCCCCTTTACTGCTAATAAAAGTGGAGTTAAATACCTTAATATGATATGGGATAACTATCATTTAAAGCAAGGCTCGTCTTTTGCGAAATGGGCAGAGGTTATGCTGTCATTATTATTATTTCCTTTGTGACTCCACCCATGCCAAGCAGCAGAAAACTTGTTGCCAAAAGTGTCACTGAAAGAGGCATAAAGTGCTCACAAGAATAGCGAAATGGGTGATTGCTCTCTCCCTCTCTTACACAGGCTGGGGGGATATATTTCTTTTTGACTATGGGCCAGATGATTTCAGGTGGTAGGCCAGATCTGGCCTTTGGGCAGAAAGGTTGCTGACCTCTTGTTTCAAGGAAAAACATTCTCTTAAATAAACAGATGTCATGAAATCTTCAACTGGCTCATTCAGATTGATTAACATATTTTAAAGACTTGTGTGTAAGCCTAAACAGTTATTTGAAACCTTGTCATGAGGTATAATTTCTGGGCTAATCAAATGAAAGTTTAAACAAGTAGCATTTAGATAATTTGCTTTTATAGGTTTATAGAAAGTAGAAGTAGCTATGTTATACCCCATTTGTACTGTAATAAGCTATCGATAAAAATGTTATCTCCCTATAGCTCCACAAAAATAATCCTAAATAATACAGGATTTAATTTATTCATAGACTTTTCCCTCATTCTAAATCTCTAGTAAACTACATAAAATAATCCTCTGCAAAGCAACTTATATTTGCACAAAGATTTGTTGTGCCCTAGAGGCAACACCACTACAGGTAGTCCTCAACTTACGAGCACAGCTGAGCCCAAAATTTCTGTTGCAAAGTAAAACTTTCGTTAAGTGAATTTTGCCCCATTTTATGACCTTTCTTGACACAGTTGTTAAGTGATTCACTGCAGTTGTTAAGTTAGTAACATGGCTGTTAATTGAATCTTGCTTCCCTATTGACTTTGTCAGAATTTCGTAAAAGATGATCAAATGACCCCGGGACACTGCAACTGTCATAAATATGAGTCCATTTCCAAGTATCTTAAATTTTGATCCTATGACCATGGGGATGTTGCAATGGTTGTAAGTGTGAAAAATGGTCAGTCACTTTTTTCAGTGCTATTGTAATTTTGAACAATGACTAAATGAACTGTTGTATCTTGAAGACTGTATTTGCCTTGATAAAGTAATTTGCACTACCAAAAAGTTCCTTGTCTCCCACTTGACACTTACAAAAAATAGAACACCTAGGAGAAGGAAGAACACTTGCACGGAACCACCTTTCAGCTTCGGCGAGTCTTACTGGAGTAGGCACCTCTCAGCTGAGTAGCTTCTCCAGCTGCATTCCTCAAAGCCAGAGGAAGCTTCTGTGGGTGCGGTTCATGTGCTGAACCTCTTCCAGTTTTTGCAGTGGTTGAGAATGTTGAGGAAGGGCTGAAGATGTCCTGTTTTTTAGGCATAATTGATAAAACTATCCTGCAATCTTTTCCTGAAAGAAAGCCAAGGAACCAGGCCAAAGGATCCAAGACCGCCTATTTGCCAGAATATAGTCTATTGTCCATAACTAGGTCTCTGTAGAGTTTTCCTAAGGATAATCAAGAAGAGAAGATCACAAGTCAATCCTAATTTCCTGTTTTATAACCTGAGTACATGAGAGAGATTAACAAGAAGCTCAAAAAGAATCTCTTTTGCAAACAACACCAAGGAATGTCAAAAGCAGGTATAAATCAACACAACAGTCCCCCAGTGTGGCCTAATTACTTTCCTGAAAAAGCTTTTATCCTGCCAGCTCTTGAATTCAGGCATATACACTCTGTTCTTTGCGTCTGTAACCTCTTTTGGACAAGATTTGTAGATTCTAGTAGACCATCATCTCCAGCTGTATCTTTCCTTAGACAGGTTGCTATCTCTTCAAGCTGTTCCTCTTTAAGATGCCATGTTTTCTCAGAGTCCAAGAGTTATTAACTCTTCATCAGAGGAATCTTGAGAAGCAATATGACAGTAAAAAAAAAAAAGTAAAGTAGTCTCAAGGAAGAGCTTCAGTTGAATGTTCATGGAAGCAAAATATCTCTTTGAAAAGAGACCCTTTGTGGGCAGGATTTTCCTATGCATAACATTTAGTATGAACAGAAACATTTTAGAGTTATAAAATACATATCCAAAAAGTAAGGAACCTTGTCTTTTTTTCTTCAGTGTACTGTGCATTTTTATTCCAGAACTTAAGAAACTTATTCCTTATGTGCTAAGTATGTTTCAGTTTGATATTGGGGGGATTAAATAAATCAGATTTGCAAAGATACTACTTATTTGCTCAATTCAGCTGACCTCCTGAAAGTTTGTCAATTATTTCTCCAGGTTGAATAAAAGCTCAATTATTGGCCTTTATAATAAGTTCATGGAGAATACAAAAGTGCCAGAGTAATAATAATTAAAAAGGAAAGCTATTCCAGCATAGATTTAATTCTAAAACCTGGTGTGACTGACTAAAATTCGGTGAAGAGATGGGAAGAGTGAGAGAAAGCCTTCTTGTTGCATCTTACAGATCCTTCATGGTTCATGTATAGCTATATCTGTGCCAAGATCTACTGAGAAAAAAAAAGAATTAATACATTTTGAAATCTAAAAAGAGAGAGACATCAAGGTTATTTATTAGCAATTTATATGGGTCAGGGATTGTCCAAGTGTGGGCCCTCAAGGGGAATTTGAGGCAGCAGATCAAACTTCAAGTATTTTCCTTCTACTGCTTTCTGAGCAGGATTACCAATCTCATGCGAAAGTATACTGAATGCCAACTCAGGCAATGGTTCTAGAACCCTGTGTGAAGCCTGAATGTTCCTGGTCTTTTTTTAAACACTTACATAGAAACATAGTGGTCCATCAAATCTGCCCATTGAGTTTGTTTGTTTGTTTGTTCATTTTCTTTTTAATTTCTTTGCATTTGCTTTTCAAAGGTGGAGTAATCCTTCCTGAAGAGCATAAGCAAAGTATTGATAATCTGATCTGACATTGACTCTAATTAGCCTAATTAGCTAATTCCCATTCAAGATATAATATATTGTTAAATATAATAGAATATCTAAAAATATGGTTATAGATGAGGAATTATATTTCCAATAAAATAATAATTACATAATACTGTAATGTGTATCATTGTTTTAGTTGATATATTACATTTAACATTTCATTATTAGAAGTAAATGGAATATTGATTTCTTGCCCATGTTAATTAACAATGAAATCATCAGTTTTACTAATTGAGTGCAGGTTATATTGTGCAAATCTATTTTATCATTTTAAGGAATCATAGTATCATTGATTGGGGATTTTAGCATTAGAAAAGGAGTCAAGCCTATTCTGGCATATTGCCATTGGACACAGGTTGGCCAGATTCCCATCACTTTACATGATTTATGAGAAAAAGACAGCATATAAACCTAATAAATAAAAAAACAAGAAGAACACATGGGATTCCTATATATTCCTTTATAACACTGGAGATGAGCCCATGGATGAGTATCCAGCAGCCACTATCTGAGACTTTCAGATAAAAGCTGGTAAAAGTCAAATGTTTCATTGTATCTGATAAAAAGCAAATACTGGACACTAGAAGCAAATTTTGACCTCACTTTTTATTTACTGAAACAGATCAGCTCAGTAACCCAGGATTAGGTATGATCAGATACATCATTTTTACATTAAAAGATGGAGCATATCCTCCAGATTATTTTCCCATAGGGAGTGGTGTGCTAGAGCTGGCTTCTGCCAGCTTGTGAGAGCTGATAGTTAAATTTTTGAGAATTTAGCCAGCCTGTTGAAAGTAGAGCTGAGACCCCCGCCTATTGCACAGTCTGCTCTTTAGCACCTAGCAGCATGCAGCAGCAATGGAGCTGCAGATCCAGTTGTTAAATATTTATCCCCATGCCAATACCCATGTGCTTCCTAAGCGCAATAAGCTAACTATAGGCGACACATTTACATATTCAAGCATTTGAATGAAATGGATTTCCATCCCCCATAGGCAGCTGACAAGCAGTTACCATTCATGCTATGTGCTACTGTTGCACTTAGTTTATCTCAATTCCCATTTTCTACCCATTATTGCTTTGATAATTCAGCTTGGTTTTAGGTTATTTTTGCTAAACTATCTTTGTTATTTATACATGTGGAATGGCAGTGAAAATTTTGCTTCTTACAATTTGCTAAGTTTGAATGTACTGTAATGTTTTATTATTTATGTGGTCTGTACATATATGTGAATGAAAAGGAATGGATATTGTTGAACATTTTTAAAAAATCTATTAAAAAAAGAAATAACTTCTGTTGTTGATCATATAGCTAATGATGCTGCAAATATTTCCCATACTGTTAATAAAAAAGAAGAAACCTACAAAAAATTTAACAGGGACAAAGTAATTAAGACATATAAATTATAAATTAACATTAAAATGATTTTTATATTCATTTTGTGATCAATAGGTTCTGATTTTAAAAATTTGAATAGATAATGCAGTTGTTACCTGTTTAAATGAAAATTCTTTTCAAACTTTCTTGATACTTTTGATTGACATGCACTGTAGATTGCAAAATAAAACGAGACTCACTGGACTGCAAAGTAAAATGAGGAAATATTTTTTATAACTTACAGTAATTGAGCTACTTTTGTGATGTTACCCATACTGTATAACAAACAGTATGATCAACCAGAAAAATGGCAAGTTAGAAAACTGATTTGAATGAGGAATAATGGCACTAAAGGTTTATCTTGTTCTATCAGATTGGAGACAAGGAATTGATGGTTTAATTGGTCTTCAGCCTATAAGTTCCCCTGCATCTATAATTTTCCCCGTGATAGATTGTCCCTTCTCATAGATTTCCTACATATTGGCAAGCAAAAACCAGTCCTCAAATGAAGATTATAGCTTAAGATTTGTTGAAACTATTTCTAAGAATGAATATATTCTGATTTCCAAGTTTATGTATTTCATCATTTTACTTATATCCTCTGTTCCCCATGCTGAAAATTGGAACTCTGGCCAGTTTGGTGTGGTAATTAAAGATACTGGTCTGAGAACTGGAGTTCTAGCCCCATCTTAGGCACTAAGTCAGCTGGGTGCCATTCCTTCTCTACAATGAAAAGGAAGTAATGGCAAGTCACACCTAAAATATTGCCAAGAAAACTGCAGGAATCAAGATCTATGTGGAGAACTATAATGCATGGGCAGTAAGACAACAATTAAATAAAAAGTAAACACATAAATAAATACTGATGTCTCTATCCTTCCCATTATAGCAAATCCCAAAGCATCTCATTATTAATAGAAACCATTGATTACAATCATGTTTATTTTTTTTTTGCAATATTTATAAGACCATCCAACTCAGTGTGATTCAAGGCAGCAGACAACAAACAATAAAGAAAAAATATATAAAAATAAACAAATAAAAAATAACGAGCACATAACTGAATAACCAAAAGGGGACTCTCACTCAAAATATAAAGGAGAATAAAAAATGGCATATGTTATTCAAAAGTGGGGGGAAGACATATATGTATCATGGTGATAACAAGGAACGCCTGGATAAATTTTAAAAGGTACTTCTAGCAACAAAAATAATTGCAGCCAATTCACAGATTTCAGGAGGGAAGGCCTTCCTCAATGAAGTACCACACTGAGAAAGTGCCTAAAAATAACTGCAAGATAACTTTATGAAGTTCTTGACATGCAAAGGAGCTAAAACTAAAGTGGAGACGTGTTTCTGGTTAATATTAATAGTAAAGGTGATATTTTTGCCAAAGGAGTTCGGTTTGTGTTGACCGGGCTAATATTTTATCGAATCATTATTCCAAGATTCTGAAGCAGCTTATTTTAGTGAATTTCTTGTAGCAGTTATGGTCTTTTAAGAAAATCTTATACACAGCAGCTTGCTTTTTGAAACATAGTCCCTCATTGTCTCGTATTGTTAATATAGGGACATCAACTTTCACTTCATAACTCTTGAATAACAACTTCAAGCCCTCCAGATTTTGTTTAAATCATTTATTTTCCATCAGAAATATATCCATTTCTCTAAGACAACCCAACATTTTGCTTATAAAATTTGGCAAGGATTATTGTGTTTCTGTTAAAATATATGCTATCTAATTGCCTTGTTGTCTGTTCTGCAGCTTTATTAATGTAAAACAGCTTAGTATGTAAGCATTCCTATTCCTAATAAATAACTGGAGATACTTTCAAGAATATAGACAGTGTGCCTACAGAGGAATTCTTGATGGCTGCCATAGAAATTATTTCTGACCCAGGAACAAGATTGTATGAGTAATTTTAGTTAACATTTAGCCTTTTATAATTTAGTTCTTGTATATTTACTATTGTGTTCCAGAGAGCTTATGAACAGATAATGTAATGTTCATGGGATGCAAGCTTCTTCTTGCAGCCATTCGTAAGTCCCCCAAAGCCTTGCCCAATGATTGGGCACATCTCTTAAGAAGGAAACAGTTTCACAGAATCCAATTATTTTACAGACTGGTGTGGTGGTGGTTTTGATTTTGCTCACTTGCACACCACACACTTCCAGCTGTGCAGCCTAGTTCTTAATATGCCACAAACTAGTACCAGTCCCTGACCCAGGGGCTGGAGAATCCTGTGCTAAGCAGTCTGGCAGGGATTTGTTTGGTAAGAGTCAATGGGAGGTATCCTTGTTGTGCATTTCTTTAAACTTCATTTACCTGAGAAGGAAGCATAAGTTTGGGGAAATTCAATGTCTCTGAACTGACCTTGTATTTCCTTCAGCATTGTTCAAGGGTTAATGGCTCTGGAAGAGAAAAAATTACTCTGAAAGAAAAATGTAGCTTCAGATAAGGGAAACAAGTGGGGTACATTCATTCCATGAACATCTTAGTGTCTGTGCCATTTATGTTTCAGTTGGTATTTAAATATAAGACTTGTTTATGTGTATTAGAGAAAGAGAAGAATGAAAATTTTCCTCTGAGCCTTAGCATATTATAATTTTAAAAATCCTACAAAAATTAACTATGTAATATTTACACTGATTTGAAACCAATATTCTTTTTTTGTTCTTTTTGTAGGACATATTAACATTACGCAATATTTACTCAACTACTATTCCGGTCTTGATATTGAGAAAAGGAATGCATTTGGATTTACTGCACTTATGAAATCTGCAATGCAAGGCCGAAGTGAATGTGCCAGAGCCTTAATATTAGCAGGTATACTGAATTCTTTCTTTCATTGTTTTCTTTCCCATTGAATTGTTGTACATTATCCTCAATGAAAAACTTTATTTACTTTCAGAGCAGGTTTGATTGTCTATTATTTAATGTGCGCAGTAAATATAGGATTTGGTTCCACAGTTATATTCTTGAAACCGTTCATCATCAACAACTCTTTATTCAGTTATAGATCATCATGTAGAATATAGTACTTGCAGTTATTTAAATTAACGTCAATAGAATTTAAGTTAATCATGACAGTTTCCCAATCATTTCAGTGGTTTTACTATTAAATCAATCCATTTTTTTCATATTACTGTTTTCTACCATAATATTTCTTAGGATAAATCTCAAATCAGTAGGCTAAATTATGTAACATATTTGCTGTATATCATAAATTGTAAAAATAATAAAATAAGCATTTAACAGTTTTCTGCAAACTGTACATGAAATTTGCAGTGAGAGTAGCTTCTGTGAAAAATCCCGATGCTAAATTTGGAGAGAGTTTTGTGCAAAATAAAAGCATATATTTCTAACCATGAATAGCTGGAAGGGCTTCCGGTTTGCCAGGCTTCGGTGACAGCAGGGATTCGCTTTCTCCGCGATCCCTGCTGTGCTAGCCGTCTTGGTGCCTCCGATCCTGACAGATCTGGAGGATAAGGCTGCCCTGTTGGGGTAGCTGAAGATAGGGGGGATCCGGACAGGGGTTGAGGGGTATTGCAGACCCCCTCCCCAGCCGGCAATAACCCCCTTTTCTCAAGGCGGTGGAGCGGCGGTCTCAATGGCTGCCACGAAGAAGCCGGCAACTGGATTAAGAATGTGCAGGAGGAAGAAGAAGGAAGTTTTAAAATGAAAGTTTTTCTTGGCTGAACCGGGACTTTAAGGACATATCTAATACCTGGAAAATTACTATTCTTTTTGGATGCTACAATGTTTCTAATGGAGGTTCTCAGCGGCGAAGGAAAGTGTTGAAAGATAAAGTTACTCTCCCTCCCTTATGGAACTAACAAATGGACATGGAAAATCTGCTCTCTAACAGAAGATAAAAATTTGAAGCCCTTTGTTACAAGTGGGAAGGGAGAGGCTTGGGAAAAAAAAAATTATTCCAAGACTTTGTTGGAGGAGATGCTTTGAAGATAAAGAGATTAGAAGCTAACTGCAAAAAAGATTTAAAATATAGATTGGTTTTTTTTCCCTAATTGACTTTACCCCAGGAAGAGAAACTGTAAAAGGAAGAAGTTTGTGCTTTGCCTGGACTGTTTGATGACTTTGGGACTTTGGGATTTTAAGTTTGGAAATATTTGATTGGCTTAATAACAAGAAGAGGATACAGAAAAAGAAGAAGAAAAAGTTTATAATGGCTCTACCTCTTGATGAACTAAAAAAACAATATCTAAAAATAAGGAAAGAAGGCAAGGACGCTATGGGAGAAGCCCTTTGTTTTGTAGATATGGCGCTTGCTATGTGTCAGCAAATTAAACAACAGCTGGAAGAAGCGGAGGAAGAAGAAGCCATTTTTAATGAATTAAATAGTGTGATTAAGAAAGAAAGGAGAAAGAGAGGAGGAAAAAGGAAGGGCTTAAGACATAAAAAAATATCTATGGAAGAGAAAAATAAGATGCAAAAACAATATAATGCCAGAAAGCAAAAGGAAAGAAGAATGCAACAGAAAGGGGAAGCCAAGAAGGTAGAGGTTTGGAGAGGAGTGGGTAAAAAGTCTAGGTGGGCCAAGAAAGAAAGGGAAAAGGGGGAAAAAAGTTATAAAGGTATAAAACAAGATGGGAAAAAGAAAATCTTTTTTAGGGACAAAGGGTAATGTATGATTCTTTTTTAAAAAAGGGGGGGATTCTGCATAGTACACATGATAGTATTGTAGCAGTTGTATTTGTATTAAAAACAGAAAATTAGAATTTTATAAGATTTAATAAAAGATCAAAATATTAAGGTACAATGTTAAAATGTTTAATAATGAATGATTTTAAGTTTTAATAAAATATTAAAGGAAATGTTTAAAATATTATTTTAATTATAGAGTTTAATGGGCTAATGTGTTGATTATTATAGATTTATTATTGTAGTATTTGTTTTTGAAATAGTAGAATGTACTAAGCAGAATCAGATTGGGACTTAGGTGTTATTTCAAATTTCAATTTAGGGGTATGATAGAAAGGCATCATACTCTGATTAGTGATTTCAGGAGAAATTATTCTTTTTTTATATTGGGAATGAGATAGATGTAAATGGAAAAATGGACAAAAGATATAAAAATATTGTCTTAAAGTATGATGAAATATATAAATGGGGAGGAGTTATATAGAAGATATAGAATGGTAAAAAAGATAGGTAATGGTATATAAGAAGAGCATGAATTTAATTGAAGTCCATACAAAAAGAGGTAATCTGGGGCCAAGTTACTTTCTAAAAGGAAGTTTTATGTTTTTTGTGCTTTATGTGTGTGTATTAATTGAGAATTAATAAAATCTCGGAGGAAGGCCACATGAGAACAACTGTAAACAAGCCAGAGGAAAATATAAATGTGATGAGTGAATAGCAGATAAACTAGAAAAGAAATGTGATTGAATAAGAGTAAAGTAAAATCAATAAAATTTGCTTTAAAAAAAAATAGCTGGAAGATCACTGCACTAAATTTCTATTAAAAATGGCATATTTAATCTCGTCAACAAGAAAATTTAGCCTGGAAAATGAAAGCTGTTAAAACTGAGACGCTAAGCAATACATAGAAACAGGATGGAACTCAGTCTTCTAATTATCCTGTCTTAGCATCAGAAACATAAGTTTCTCTGAGTGTCTTTTCTGCAAGTGTTCAGTTCTCTACTACATGGCTTTTTAATAGTATTTAGTAATATTAGTTACTTCTTAGATTTTCTTTCTTTTTGTTTCTTTTGCCTTTTATGCACATGGAACATGAACTTCTGTTTTTCTGCTATTCGACTCAATTGTTAAATTCATAGACACTGAAGAGCACGGGGCAGTTGCCTGCATATAACTATATGCCTTTGGTCATCTGTGTTATCATGCAAACTATCCACTTTTCCCATCATTACTGTACTAGCCCAGCTATAAGTAATCCTCAACTTACAATCATTCATTTAACAACCGTTGAAAGTTATGACAGCCTCATAAAAAAGTGACCTACATCCTCTCCTCAACATTTTGACTCTTGCAACACCCTTGCAGTCACTTGATTGCAATGCAGGTGCTTTGCAACCAGCTTACATTTTGCACTCACATAAACATGATTTGCAAGGTTCCCCACTAGTATTCTGATAAGCAAAATCAGTTGGGGAAACTGGATTCACTTAATGACCACATTATTCGCTTAATAACCATGGTAATTTGCTTAACACAACCACGGTAAAAATGGTTATAAAATCCAGTTACATGATGAATTGCTTATCAACCGCATTGCTTAGTGACTGAATTTCCAGTCCCAATTGTGTTTGTAAGTCAAGGACTACCTGTAATTATAATATTCACAACAATGTTGAAAAACAGTATAGGAAAGTAATGATCTATCTTAGTCCTCTGTGGGTAAAGGGAGGGGCAGGAATGCCAACTTGTTTTACACTTTCTAAAATGTTTCACGCATTTGCAGAATAATAAAATGGCGAGAGCATTTTGCTTACAGGTTCTTGTAGAACTTGAAGCAGTTCTATAGGGAATCAACTTTATTACTAAATTGACCTTAAAAAATAAAAAAAATAAACAAAAATTAGGAAATCTTTTCATCACATTTGGAAGTGCCACAATATTTGAAATTATATTTTTATATAATTATTTGCTGACATTCACAAAGGCAAGAAACAGTGATGGGAAAGTCATTACATAAGCCAGTTGCTTCTCTGCTTTGGTGTAGTTTTAGATCTATCTTTCACTTGTTCTTATTATAGTCTGATACAGTCTTAAATGAATCTCTTAATCATTCATGAGATTAACCTAAATTCATAGACTTACCATCTGTTATAGCAAGTATCCCTTCTGTTTGTCCTTTGGTTATGTATCTAGGTTTTTCAAAGTGAATTTTGGAGATTGTTGAGTTTGTTTTCTTTCCCATTGCATTGTGCTTTGAATGAAGAAAGATCACAAATTCTTTTTTTTTTCTCCCCCTTTTAATGGGATTCATTGTAGCTTTAACATTTTCATTCTCTTGATCATTCTCTATTTTGGTCTCTAACAACAATGCAGAGTTTATAATGGAGGAAAATGTGTGCAAGCAGGTCTCGCAGATGGTATTCATTTAAATACTATGCTGTTTTTTTAAATGCTGTCTTCACTGCAAAAAGTGTTTCCTCCTGACAATTTTTTACCAAATATATTATTGTACTTTACAATGAATTCAAAAGCAATGTGTTATACTGTAAATAAATTGTTAGTTTCATGGCAGCAATTTTAAGAAATAAAATACATTTTGGTGAGAGATTTTAAAAACATTAAATTCCTTTAAAATAAAACTCAATTTTACTGTCAGCCACTGAAAAATCCATTTTGGTTAGACTCTGTTATCAAAAAAGCCAACAGCACCTCCTAAACAAAGAAAAGAAATTGTTAGCCTTGAGTTCATGAAAGCTAGAAGTGAAAAAACTGAAAAGAATCTGATCTATGTACAGGCAGTCCTCAGTCAATGATTGTCCTGTTTAGCGACCATTCAAAATATGATGGTACTGAAAAAAATATTTTTTCAGTTTTCAAATTTATGGTGGTTGTAGCATCTTATGGTCATGTAATCATGATTTGGGAAATTCATAACTGATATGCATTTATGACAATTGCAGCTTCTCATGGTCATGTGATTGTCATTTGTGATCTTCATAGCTAGCTTCCAACAAGCAAAGGCATTGGAGAAGCCAGAAGTAATATAAGTTGTGATCATGTGTGATGATCACGAGTGTTTAATCATCACTTAATAACTGAGTCATTTTGTGACTAAGTTGCTTAGTGACCAAATTGGCTATCTCCATTGCTGTGATTAATTTAGG